ACTATCACAATCCCCAGGGAGTATATTACAATGATATAATATAGGTACCATAATATGGATATTTCTGGACTTTCTTCCAAATATAGATACGATAAACAAAGTAAGTTTATAGCATAGTCGTCCGAACGGAACGTCTCGGCTAGAACATTCAGTTTTTCCATTACCTACTAAGGATTTTCCAGTAATGGAAATCCTGTATTCCCATCTCTTAGGGATTTCCGATGCTTTCAAGATAAACAAAGTGATTTTTGAAGGCTTTCTTTCCTTCGGTCGAAGTTTGGAAATGTAGATTAAATTAGATTAGATTGAACTTTCAACAATCTGCACTTTAATGAGAATTGTCACGATTTTTTCTTTTTTGCACTAATTTTGGTATTTGTGACCATCAAACTGCAAAACTTTTTTTTATGGCATAAGCGGTAAACGAGCAGACGGATCACCTGATGGTAAGCAATCGGCGTCGCCCATGGACACCTGGAATACCAGAGGCGTTACGTTTGCGTTACCGGCGTTTTGAGGATTAGGAGTTTGAGGATCGTTGGGCATTCAGGAATTGGGGAGATTGGGGAAGGGGAGGGTAATTGGGCCTCCGGTAACCTCACTCACACGGCGAAACACAACGCAAGCGTTGCTTCATATCGGTTTTCAGTGAAGCCGTGATATCACTCCGGTCGAGCCGGCCCATTCGTGCCGAAGCATGGCTCTCCCTCACTTACTTGACTTGCCTTAACCTAGTTGGGAAATAGCCAGGAAGAAGATAATTTATAGACCTAATTTTGGCAGTTAGTTTTAGTTAGTTTGCGTTAGTTAGTTTGCGTTCTATGTGTTACGGTTAATAGACAGAGCGAGGTTCCATACGAACTATGAGACTTCTAACTTATAAGCTTCCATCATCTATGGTCTATCACTCTGCTATAGGTAGGTATATTGTTTTTTTAAACTTAGGCTAGTTTGGCAAACAAAGTAATATCAGATGGCTCTAATATAACTTCAAGTTATTTAGAAATTTTATCCAAGTACAAAGACATATGTCACAAGAACGGGAAAGAATATTTTAATGAAAGATCCATGGACAAAGGAATTTGGTACAGGACAATGCAAAGTGAGCCCCCGCGTTTTTCCTGGTTTTCCGACTGTAATATTAATAGGGAATATATTATAATAGCTCATAGACTTCGGTCTGGTCTCGTTCCACTCAGCAAGTTTAAACACCTCATGGGAAACAGTCCCACTCCTAACTGTGCAGAGTGTGACACTATGGAGGATTTGAAACATATGTTTAGAATTAATTTCTTAGATGTTGGCGTTTTACATAGTATATTGTCACAATCTTTATCCAAAGCAGCTATCTTTTTATACAACATAGTAAATAAGAGTAGAATTTAAGTTAATGTAAGTTTTGTTAAATCTGTTTAGGGAATTTGATGGGTCTGTCATGGTCTTAATGTGATCAAAAGACTCTAAATAAATAAAGATATATAAAAAAAAACTTAGGGCTGATTTTCTCAACGCCAGATAAATTTTAACTGAGGAATAACTTTAAGTATTTGACAATTCTTCCATACTAACAACTGTAATTTGTTAATTTTATTCTATAGTTAAAAATTAACTGACTATTGAAAAATCGGTCCTAAATAATTTAACCCAGTATACACATAACAATCTGCGTTACTAGGCGACAAATAACATTTTTCCATTTCCAAATAAATACTAACATAAATCTTTCTGTCTCTAAACTGCTTAAAAAAGAAAAATAAATGCGAAACCCTCAGTATTTTTTATAAATTCAATTGTTAGTAACTGGACGATTGGAGGGCCAATAAAACTGATATCTTTAGGGGTCTTTAGGGGTCCCTCAGGGCACACGATAGCACGGAGAACTGTTAATTTTCCCTTTAAACTCCCGGACCCTTGTTCCCTTAATTGCTTTCATACTTGTCATGGATATTAAAACAGAAAATTAATGATCGTCATTTTAGGGTATGAGATATTATTTTCTTTTTCAAAGATTTAGGATCAAGGACATTTTTTTTCTTCCTCCGAATTGGAGAGATTTTTATACCAAATTTGTACTGAGATACAGATATTACCTATTAAAATATACTTACCATCGAGAGATGATTCCAATATGTGGCAGTAAAGCCTTAGCCTTAACATCTGTAAACCCCAGAGAATAGGGCCGTGTTTTTTAAACTATAATCAAAAAGTTCTAAGCAAGTACATAATACACATTTCATGTAACGCTTAGTATAACATTAAAAAGTGATTTTATTAAATACGGCTCTTTACCTACTCGATATAAAACTTATAACCACCCTACTCTGCTTCGAAATATAAAAGATAGTAATAATTAACAAAAAACGCGGGTCACTCACGTCAAAATACGAAGCGTAGGCTGCGCGAAATCGCCGCGACTTGTGGTTCGAAACTAGAAGAACTTACCTCAGTATTTTGACGTGAGTAACTCGCAAGTTTTTAGTTAAACTGTCAAACACCAAGCGGTCACCGGTGACCGCAACCTATTGTTCTATAATTGTGTCTATAATGACGGTACTCGACGAGTTAATTAAGTACGTCCCACAATTCTTGCTAATACATTTCCTAATCATCAAACAAATAAAAATAAAACACAAAACAAGATCGACTAACTCTAACAGCCAATCACCATATCTAAACCACCATGATGGCAGAAAAAAACATACATGAAAATTGAACCTTGTCAGCACCACAAGCCAAAAAACATCATGGGTAGAAAACAAGAGATTACGTAATCAAAAAAGGTCGGACAAAATAAGCCTTTCAACAGAACATTCAGTAAAAACCACGACACAAATTAACTTTTTTACTCCACATGAGTCGAGGGGAAAATACTTTTTCGTTAATTTATTGTGGGGATGTGTTTTTATATTTGTTAGCTAGCTGTTGCCCGCGACTTCGGCCGCGTAGAATATAAATATTAGAACACCTGAACAACCATCAACCTGCCGATAACTCTTACAGAATCGGTCCAGCTATTCCAAATATTATCAAGTACAAATAGACTGCCAGACAAAGATTGGAAAAAAATATATTTTAGTATAGGTATACATACTCGTATGTATATTTATATCCATGTAGTAAAAAGCGGTTATTTTATTATTACACAACAGACAAACCCAATTATATTTATCTGTACAGATTAAAAGATCGCGTTGGTACGCTTTTCTATTATTGTCATGTTTAACAAATAAAGCCTTCATCCAAATCAATAACCAGTTTGCTTCGTTTTTAGTCAAATTTCCGTGGTGCTTGGCGACTGGGCTTCACCCAGTTGTACAGTCTCTTATATGTGCCTTTAGGCTTAATTCATTCTGTCTCCTGCAGTAATTCACGGAAGTAGAAAGTACAGTTTTTTCTTCTTCTCCTCTTATAATATCTTCTGATTCACTTTACTGCGGGAAGCGAGAACCAAGACAGTTACTCATGTCCCTGGGATGCGCCGGACTTCAGTGTTCCGATGTTTTCATGGTTGTATCTACTGTAGATCCTGGCTTACAGGAGTTGCACCGGTTTTGGAAGGCTGTGGCGGGCTTGTCTCTAAAAAAAACCAGTTTGCTTCGTTTTTTTTTTCGAATTTGTTTATTAGTGTCTTTTCTCAATCCCTCCATCTTTTCTTGAAACGTCTTCTTCTTTTCCTTTCTTGTGCATTTTCCTTAATTTATAAACAATAGTCTTTCATTCTATGTTTAAATCAACTTATAGTAACTACACAAATGTCACAACAAAACAAAGTCTTTATTCAAAACTACATTTTACGATGATTTCACAAAGTCTATTTTCACACATCACTCCTTCGAAAAGGCAGAAGCAGGCTACGAGTAGGTATTATCGACCGACCGCAGTTTAAAATATTAATAACTACCATACTTGGAAAGTTGTTAACACATGGAATTAACTATGAAAAATGGTGTCCTACTTTATAAGTGGCTTGTGGTTTAAGTGGTATCAATCGCTCTAAAATAAAGGACCTATATGGGGTAGGGTAGAAAGATTTTCTAAATATTTAGTACCTAATAATATTTTTGAAAATTAAGTGTGGGAGAGCCATGCTTCGGCACGAATGGGGCGGCTCGACCGCAGTGATACCACAGCCTCACATAAAACCGACGTGAAACAACGCTTGCGTTGTGTTTCGTCGTGTGAGTGAGGTTACCGGAGGCTCAATTACATCCTTCCCCAATCCCTGAATCCGCCACAATACTCTGGTGAAACGCCTCTGGTGTTTCGGGTGTTCAAGGGCGACGCCGATTGCTTACCATCAGGTGATCCGTCTGCTCGTTTACCGGCTTATCCCATAAAAAAATAAAAATAAAATAGCAACGAAAAAGCTGCTTTGTGAGTGAAGTGAGCTTGGTTGATTACGTATTCCCGTTTGTGCCCGCTTGTATCAACCTAAGAAATAGATGTCCAGAACATCTTGATCATTGAGCACTAACAATATTCAACCATATGCTGTATAGATGTAGGCAAGCTCAAAAATTCCGACTAAGGGACTACATATTTCGGAGTCGCGGAAGGCCTAACGGGTTGCCGGGGCTCCGGCTCGAAGAGCAGGAGTAGAAACTGGGTGGCTTTTAGTCAGTAGGAGTGTGACACTCCCTCTCGCCTAACTTAAGGCGGGAGTAGTCATTGGATGATTATCCCCCCTCAAAAAAAAGAGATTTTTGGAGACTTCTCTTCCTCGGAAACGATGATAGTGCAATTACACAGTTCCTTATTATATTTTCGGCTTATTCACGTAACTATTTGACGAAGAACTCGACTAGTTTCAAGCCAGTAGTAGTCAGTAGAAGTACGACAGTGCGTGGTTCACGGAATGCTACTCAAGAATAGCCTCTAGCATGGCTTGAAACTAGTCGAGTTTCTCGTCAAACAGTTACGTGAGTAAGCTGAAACTATAATAATTAATTAAATATGTCTCATGAAAGTTTTATTATAAACAGTTCCTATAATGATCAGTAATGGACTTGTGAGTTTCTCTGACGTGGTACATACACTACTTAGTTATGCAAGTGACCATTTCAGATCAGGTAGGCCGTAAACTTTATTATTGTAGGATAAAAACCACGATTGGCGAAATGTGAATGTTTTATGTCAGCTGTTCGCTGCCGTAAGCGACACCCGCGTTATGACCTCTTTGCGTTCTCCGCCCGGCGCGCGCGCATTGAATGCAATTAATAATACCGCGTCGAACATATGTGCACGATGTAACAAAATTATTATTAATGAACTGTTGGCTTTCATTAGCCACAAGGTTGATACCTTACCTGAGACCGGGATCACCAAAATATGTTTGAGTGCGTTCAATTCGGATGATATTGAAAACTCAAGGGCAATCACGTACGCTAATCTTGCACCAACTAAGAAATTTCTAAGGAGAAAGGAAGGATCTGAACAGAAGAGCCTTCAAGAAATTATTAAGATTATCAAAGAAGCCGATCCAGAAATTCTACCGACGTTTGTAGCTCATAATCTTAATAAACTTCCCCCTGTATCGTTTGACTATATTGATATAACGACATTCCTTAAGGAATTAACTATACTTAAAAATGACGTGGCCTACATTAAGTCCAAGCCAGATATTGACAACAAAAATGTAGATGTAAGCTCGGATATAAATCTACTGAAATCTGAGATCAAGGAATTAAAAACCTTAATTCGTGGGATGCGCGAGGCTCACGCTGCAAGTGATGGAAAGCATATGGACCACCTATCTCTTAGACCTTATCATAGTGATAAAGACACAAGAAATACGCTGAATAATGTACAAACCACTACTAACTTCGTCACAGGTGCGAGTGAGTCTCGTTTCGATGCAATTGAGGGTGGTTCGGATATAAATGCGGCTATTGTGAGCGAGCGGCATGGAGGGCCGCTTGATACCTGCGTAATAACGAGTGCACGCGCACTGACTCGGACCGGCTCCGCGCGCGCGCGGCGTCCCCTTGTGCCTGCGCCTGCGTTATCTACTCATCAGCTGACGGCGGGCACCGAGACAAAATCAACACATGTACTATCTTATAGAGATATCGCTAGTGCACCTCCGATCGAGGCGCACGTAAACAATGATGACGATGGGTTTACACTTGTTTCCCGGAAAAAAACAATGCCGTACAAGTACAAGAACACTAGAGGTACTCTTCAGAGTTCGAAGTTGCTGGCTGCGGATGCATATGCGTATGTCTATATTTCACGAACGCACAAAAGTACTACTGTAGAAGATATTAAGGAACACATACAAGACCTAAAGGAGGAATGTATAGACGTGGAAAAGCTGACACAAACAAGAGAGACAAATTTTAGTTCCTTTAAAGTTAAAATTTTGTCTACAAAGTTGAATTCATTTTTAAGAAATGACTTCTGGCCGCAGGGTTTCGTATTTAGAAGATATAGACAATCGCGTTCTATTAGGAATGATACAGCTGCCTCTAATTTTACTAATGGATAGTATAAAAACCCCGCGCGAAAAAAATATAAAACTAGTTTCTTTTAACTGTCATGCAATCAAGAGCTGTCTTCCTGCTGTGAGCGATATCTGCAGATCTGCAGATATAATATGTATACAAGAACATTGGTTGATGCCGCATGATCTGGGCATCATCAACAAAATTGATAAAGAATTCAGCTGCTGCAGCAAGTCTTCGGTGAACCCCACGGTGTTGCTACGCGGGCGCCCTTATGGAGGGACGGCGCTTATGTGGCGAACAGACTTGTTTACGCGAACTGACGTCATTCCATGCAAAAGTGATCGCGTTATTGCTGTGCGCTTATCGCAGGGTGATCGAAGTCTCCTGGTGTTTTTTATATGCCAACTGACGACTTAGAAAATCTACCAGAATTTACAGACTGCTTAGCGCAGATAAGTGCGGTGATCGAGTGCGCTGAAGTCGAGTGTGTCCTTGTGCTGGGTGATTTTAACGCGCACCCAAATACTCTTTTCGGTAAAGAGTTGATTGACTATTGTCGCGAGCAATCACTTGTGTGTGTGGACTTAGATAGGCTCGATCCAGGTACATTCACGTTTGTGAGCGGAGCACACGGATCGTGCCGCTGGCTCGACCACTGCCTTGCAACTGAGGCTGCGGCTCGATTGGTGTCGTCGGTGCATGTTTGGCACGACTTTACAGGTTCCGACCATTTTCCTCTAGTCGTAGATTGTAACTTCAATACAATTAGCCGGAAGACAATAAACTGTGATAGTAACGTAATTAAAAAAAAATAATAAAAAACATACTTGGGGCACCAGAGACAGGGAACAAACGTTAATGTATTCTGAATTATGTGACGAAAATTTCTTTTATTTGATGGATAGATATGACAATGATTGTGAACTGAAATGTATGAAAGCGGATACATTGTGTAGGAATGAATGCCA